GAGGCATAGGCTTTGTTGCACCTTCAAGATTCATTCCCATTGGAAGAAAAGTGGGTTTTCCAGGCTTTGCACCCAGAATTTCTACAATAGAAGGTCATTTTTCAGTCTCTTTCCCATCTCTCTTCTATTAAACATTTAGCACCTCTCAATGAATGAGAGTCAGGCATAGGCATCATTTGTCAGCTACTTTATGGAGTTTTCTCTCGGTGCTTATCCTTCTGTAAACAGTCACCGTATCAATATACTTTTAAGCTGCAATCAAAACTGTAACAGACGTTCGCTGAAATTACCAAAATGATGATCCCAAATTTCTTCATACATAAAATGATCTCAAACATCCAATGCCATTCAAAACCATATCAATTGATTTATTTTTAATGAAATCAGCATTTTGGATTCCATTTCTAGAATACTGAGCATCAATATCTAAAGTCCATTTCCAGGCAACATACCATAAATATACCACCCAAATCACAAACATATCAAAAGATTTGAAAGGGAAAAAAAGAAGAAGAAACAAACATAAACTAAAGAGAACTCAATGGCATTATTCGCATATTTATTTGATTTCATTTAAAAAAGTGGGAGTAGCATGCATCCTCATGCAGATATGCATAATTAACAAGAATCTAGTAAATACAGCAGTACATGGATTATTTCAGCCAAAATTAAAGTATGAAGAAATTTAGGATGCTTGAAGCAAAATTGTCTTTGAAGTTATTCAAGATGATGAAAATTTATGTAAGTTTATAACTTATTGGATCTATCCAACAATATAATTATGGAGACACATAAGGTACAAGCATGCATATATAACCTAGAAGAGGGGAATGCTAGTCCCAAACAGGTAACTAACAACTGCATGAGATCAAAGCAAGTGAAAATTGTCAAAATCTTGATGGAATTGAACTAACAATAGCTTACAATTAGACAAAACGCCAGGTAACGTTTGCACCATCAACTAGCAGTACTGAGTACGAAAAATTTACATCACCTTTTCACCTTGACGACCTTCAGATACACCTAGCAACTTCTTCAAACCAAGATTGTCATCATTAGACAACAGATCTACCACCAAGGTTCTGGTAAGGGTATCTGGAGAGAATCCCCTGTCAAGCATTTCCAGAAAAAGTTCTTCTGCTCTTGATGAATCCTTGTGCTGGAGAAATCCTTGGATAATGATATTATAACAGCAACCATCTGGTGGGCAGCCATCCTCTTCCATTTGTCTGAAATCTTTGTATCCTTCACCTAGCAATCCTTCTCTGCAAAGTCTATTCATCATTGTAGTGCGTATCTGAACATCAGGCTACAATCCATTGGCATAGAGTTCCAAAAGCAGTTCCCTTGCAGTTTTAAGATTCCCAGATTTGCACAAGGCATCAATCAGAGCATTATAGGTTACCAAATTGGACTTCAAGCAACTATCTTTCATGTCTCGAAACAATCTCAATGCATGATCAAGATCCCCTTGTTTGCATTAGCCACTAAGCAAAATTGAGTAAGTTACTAAATTTGGGGAGTGGCCTAGCATGCATATCCTTGAAAAGCTCTTTTGCTTTACAAAGTCTCCCTGCTTGGCACAAGCCATTAATAAGAGTGCTGTAAGTAACAGTGTCAGGAATTAAACCTCGAAAAGTCATATCATCAAAAAGATGCTTCACCTCATCTATCCTTTGGGTCTTGTGGTATCCATTAATTAAGATGCTGTAACTAAAAACATCAGGCATGCAGCCCTTGGTTATCATCACATCAAATAAGTTTCTAGCTTTTGAGTAACTTTCTTCTGCAGACAATATCCATTCATCAACCAATTATAAGTAACAATATTGGGCTCCACACCGTTTTCAATCATTGTTTTGACTATTCCTTGAGCCTCTAAAACCTTGCCTTCGTTATGAAGTGTATCAACCAAGATGCTGAAGATAACTATACTTGGCATGATTTTCAGACCAATCATTTCATTTAACAATGCTAAAGCCTCATTCCGCTAGCCTGTACTGCATGGACCTTGGATTAAGGAGGAGTAAGTGACAACATCTGGCTCAATGCCTTTACTCTTAATCTCAGAGAAGATGTCTAAAGCCTCATTGACTAGTCCATCCTTGTCCATTTTCTTGAGCAATCCAGCAGCAAGAGTGGTTTTTCCAATCTTGCACACAAAAACCTTTGGTAATCGTATTATAGGTATGTAGATTAGCTTCATATCCTCTTGCCACCAACTCTTTAAATAATTCCATTGCTCGACCAATTTTACCCTCTATACAAAACCCATTAATCAAGGTAGAAAAAGTAACAACATTTGGTTCAAAACCAAGTTTAATGATTTTCCCCAAGACAGAGAACCCACAATCGACACGTTGCAAGTGGCAGAAGCAATTAATCAAGACAGTAAGAGAGTAAACATTATGATTAATTCCTGACAGTTTCATTTGTTTGGACAAAGAAACCAGAGTCTCATAATGTCTCATCCTGACCATTGCTGAAAATAATTTACAAAATTCGACAATACAAGGCAAAGGGTTCATATGAAGCATGTCATTGAAGGAAGACAAGGCATCTTCAATGTTTCTAAATTGGTATTCTTGCCTCCTCCTGCTGCTACTAATACTGTAAGGATGAAGACAGAAAATGGGGTCGTGTAATAACAAGGGTTTAGCTGGAATAACAGTAAACATACCCTTTTTGATAAAGGCCGAAGCTGCAGACAACGAAGAAGAAGAAGTAGCGAGCAAAAAACACAGCCGTCTTGTTGCCATCATCGAAATTTCTCTCTTCCTTTTTTTTTTTTTTCCTCTCTCTCTCAAGAATTTCTCCGCTTATAGGATTTTCTTTTCTCCTTCTCTTTTCTGCTTGGGTCATGGCCCTTTTTTCATGGGCTTGATTTTATCCATCTATGCTATGGGCCTCCCACTTTTATCATCCAAATTATTTTTGGAGTAAATTGGAAATTAGTTTCTCTAGTTTAGCAAAATAAATTAAATAATCTCTTCTGTTTTAATTGTTAATTAATTAGCCATTTTGTATTTTGTAATGAACATGATTAATTTAATATTATTTTATTTCAAAAGATTTGTTTTCTTTCTCATCAACTTTTCCATATTTTTATTTATTTTTTTCATTTTATGTTTATTAAAAAAATAAATTGAAAAAAGATGAAAAATATTACTTTATAAATAGATTTAAAAATATAGAGAATAATTAATTGGGTATTGAAATTAAAGAGACTATTTAATTTATCTCTGCTAAATGTGCAAATTAATTATATAATGATTGACTATGAAAATTTAAATGTCTGAAATATTTTACATATTTATTAGAGTTATTATTGGATTCGGATTTTTTTGGGTTTTCAAGTAATAAGATTGTTTTTTTAAGAGTACAATGGTCAATCAAAGTTGTGTACAAAACTAAATCTTGTCATTATAAGTGGAAATTAAAGTAGAAATTGATCATAGTTTTCATCCAGAAAAAAAGTATATAATCATTCATTTTAATTAAAATTTCTTGATGTTACTTTTTTTTTTTTTTTTTTAGGAACAAAAGCTGATTTGCTATCTCTATTTATATATTATTTTATTGTTTAATTTGTATAATAATCAACAAAAAAAGTTGTGTGAAGTTCCTATTTTCATATATATATATATAGTTGTCGATTAAATTATAAAAAAAATCCCTCTAGTATTTAGAAATAAATTAATTAGTATCTTTAATTTTAAAAATTAATTATTTAGTTTGATTAACATTGATCAAGCTTAATTTTAATATTATTTTATTCCAAAAATATCATCTTTTCTCGTTTATTTTTCATAATATCTATTTAAAAAATAAAAATAAAAAAGAACATAAAATACTAAATAATCAATTTTTAAAAGAAAGGGAATTAATTAATTAGTTTGTCAAAACAAGAGGGATTAATTTATAATTTACTCCATATTTGTCAAATGAAGTCGGGGTGAGAAAAGGATGAGAAATTTTATAATACTTAAATAATAATTGGTGTAAATTTTTTTTAAAAATTGAGTTAAAGTGGAATCTTCTTATCATTTTTTACGGATCTGAATTTAATTTTTATTTTTTATGTATTTATCGTTTTTCTTAAAAATAGACTCATAGAGTAATTACTTTACATATGTACATTATAGTAATTACCCTTTTAATATTATAAAATTTTTCTATAAACGATTGGACTTTAATTACGGCATTTAACATGCAATGACAGACACAAGGGTATAACAGCTGCAAAAACTCGCAAAAACAATCTTACAATACCTCAATATCTATGAGTTATTGAAGATGGTGAAAATTTAAGTAAGTTAATAACTTAATGGAAAAATAAATTTCCTTTCATGTAATCAATAGCCAACAATATATATTTACGCATCCTCATTGCGCAGCTCAAAGGACATGCAAGAAGCTCACATAGAAACAAAAACAAAAATATCACAACCACAAAGGAAAGGATAGGAGATAATGGAAACTCATGATCATTATCGTTAATTCTCAATTAATGAGATTCTGGAAATCAATTTCGATAATCATAAGAAACAAAGTTAATCCAATTGATTTGATCTATATATGCAAGAACATCAACAAAAAAATGACAAAGAAATTGTCAAGTAAATCTGTTCACCATTTGACATCAAGGACCAACTTCAACAAAAAAGATATCATGGTGCAATTATTTTAATAGATGAGATCGATTCTGAGAATCCAAACGGATATGTCTGGTACAGTAATTAAGGAAATTAATTCGTCATGTCTATATCAGTATATTCTTCACCATATTTTTTGTATTTTTTTTTAAAGAGGTATTCTTCAACATATTTACTAGCATATTCTTCACTATAAATATAGGTTGTTTTTTTTTAAAAATTATGTACAAAGTTACTTGAATATACCAGTAATTAATTTTCTCTGGCTAGCTAGTTTTGTTAATTATTTAAATCATGTCTTCTACTAGTATCCTTGGTTTGATGATCTCTATCTTATTTCTATTGATGAATGGAGCTATTTCCATCGATTATGGAGCAGCACTGACTAAATCTTTGCTGTATTATGAGGCGCAACGCTCAGGAAAATTGCCTCCTAATCAACGAGTGCAATGGCGTGGAGATTCTGGACTTAAAGATGGCAGCGATGCTGGAGTAAGATATAGATAAATAGAGATAATCCTTTGCTTTTGTTGTTTATTTTTTAAGCCATGAATCTTGAATATTAAAACATATATATAATATAATTGCATTTAACAGATAGATCTAGTAGGAGGATACTACGATGCAGGAGACAATGTAAAGTTTGGATTTCCAATGGCATTTACTGTAACAATGCTTGCTTGGAGCACTGTTGAATTTCGTGCCCAACTTGAAGCCAAAAAAGAACTCTCAAATGCGTTGGAAGCCATCAAATGGGGCACAGACTACTTCATCAAAGCCCACCCTCAGGCAGACGTCCTTTATGGTGAAATAGGTGATGGAGATTCGGATCACTCTTGCTGGGAGAGACCAGAGGACATGACCACCCCGAGAAGTACTTTTAAGATCGATGATCAACATCCCGGCGCTGATCTTGCAGCTGAGACTGCTGCTGCCTTAGCTGCTGCATCTGTTGCTTTTAAACAGTCAAATCCTCGTTATGCTACTGAATTGATAAAGCATGCAAAACAGGTACGATTATATAATACATATCGATGGTTAGAAAATAATATAAATCGTAACTTATGAGATGATTATTTGATACCGATTTATAGAGTTTAACGGTTGAAATTGGTTCTATTAAAAAAACTTTAAGTTTTATGATGAATTGGTTTTTTTCTTTTTTTTTCAATTTTAATTATTTGCCGCTAATTATGTTTTAGGGTTTGTCAAGGGACAGGGCCATTGATTTTTTAACCTCTGATGTGGTATTGAATTAAATATTTAAGATTGTATTATCCAAAAAAAAAACTTAAATTTTATGAAAGGTAACTTTTTTCTTAATTTTATATATTATCAATAAATTATTTATTTATTTAATAGGATATTGATTCTCTAACATTAATTATTGCAACAATTACGTGTTTGAATTAATTAACATGTATATTAATTTATAATTAATGTTGCAGCTATTTGAATTTGCTCGTAGTCACCCTGGTCAATATCAAAACAGCATCTCAGCTGCAGGAAAATTCTACTCTAGCAGTGGATACGAGGTAATTACAAACTACAAATATATTGATGAACAAATATTTAATTTATTACTATCGACTTATGTATTATATGTTTTAATCCATATAATTCTTTCGTCTCAAAAAGATTATCTATTTTTTATTTATATTTATTTCAAAATATTTGTTTTGTCAAAACTTTAAGTAATATATTTTTTAAAAAGATAATTCGAAATTAAAGTTTATTTTATAAAAATTGTCTAAATATATTTCTAAAACTATTTAAAAAATATAAAAAAACGTAAATATGAAACGATAATTAATAATTTTATTAAATAATATGAAAAGCAGAATATATATAACACTTTCTTCAGTATTATTATTATTTTTTTTAATTACAATATTGGATATATAGGATGAATTATTGTGGGCGGCTGCATGGCTTCATCGTGCCACCAATGAGAAAACATATCTGGATTATGTTGGCACCTCTGGAAATACTGGTGGCGCAAGAACTGTATTCTCATGGGATGACAAGTTTGTAGGCGTCCAAGTCTTGGCTGCCAAGGTACGTTATTACTTCACGATCGATCTATAACCCGAAACCCTTTTCGACTTAATTAATTCCTAATTTATTGGATAAATATTGCAGCTTGTATTGGAGGGAAAGGTGCAGAATAATGGTGTATGGAGTCAATACAAGAGTCAGGCTGAACAATTCATATGCTCCTGTGCCCAGAAAGGCAACAACAACGTGAAGAAGACACCAGGTGGTTTGCTATGGTTTCTTCAATGGGATAACCTTCAATATACTGCCACAGCTTCTTTTGTAGCAGCTGCCTACGCTAACTATCTAAATCCAAGACATGCCTCTATCCAGTGCCCCGGAGGAATTGTTCAGCCCTCCGATCTGATCAACCTTGCACGATCACAGGTTGATTACATATTGGGATCAAATCCGAAAAAGATTAGCTACATGATTGGGTTCGGGCCAAATTATCCTACCCAAGCACATCACAGAGGAGCATCTATTGTGACAATCAAGAAGGTCCCAAAACGAGTGGGATGCCAAGAAGGTTTTCAGCAATGGTTCAACAGAAATGCTCCAAACCCTAATGTGCTTGAAGGTGGCATAGTCGGAGGTGCAGATCAAAATGATGGATACACCGACTCTAGATCCAATTTTCAGCAGGCTGAACCTGCAACTGTCACGCCTGCACCACTCGTTGGAGTTTTAGCTAGCCTTGCTTAATTGGTTAATTTTGTATACAACCAATAAGCAGTTAGCTTGTAGTTCAAACATAGAATAAACTATTTTAACGGTTAACGGCTTTTATGGGTCCTTTCATTCTTGACTTTGTACTAGTTTTCTCTTTTATATTTTTATTTGTCTCAATGTTTTTTTCCCCCAAAATCATTTTAGTTATGGAATAAATTATAAATTAATACCTATAGTTTTAAGAAATAAATTAATTAATCTCTTTTATTTTAAAAATTATTATTTAATCCTTAAACTTGTGTTAACATGTTTAATTTAATATTATTTTTATTCTATAAAATTTCTTATTTTTTCATTAATCTTTCCCTATTTTTTTTATTTTTTTATTTCTTGAAACAGAAAATCAAAATAAATTAAAAAGGAGCTACAAAAATAATTTCAAGCAAATTTTAAAATATAAAAATTAAATAATTAGTTTTTAAAACAATGAGAATTAATTAATTTATTTTTCAAAATAAGGAGGATTAATTTATAATTTACTCCACGGTTATGTTTCTCTCTCTTTTTTTTTTTTTTCTTTTTTTTACTGATATCTATGCCATCCCATCATCCAGCTTGTAACAACAATACACGTGTTCAAGTGTCTTTTAAAAAAAAAAAAAAAACTCCTTTTCCTTCTTTTTTTTTTTCCTTATCATTCTCTCTTCTTCATTCCTTCTCTCTCTCCACCATGGCTGCCACCCTCTCCACTTCTCCTCCACCACCAAAATCATCATTTTTACTCTTCTTCTCTCTCCGATCTCTCATATACTTTATAATCTCTCTCATTCATTTTGTCATCATGCTTGTAAGAAAACATATATAGATCAGTAAATTTCTATTATTTACTCAACAAAATTAAAATAAAAAAACAAATAGTTCACACCAGTGAATTTCTTCATTCCAACCTCTGTTTGCATATTCTTGCTAAAGGAATCGGTAAATCGAAGCAGCTTTTTGATAAAATGATTAATCGAGGCTTAATTCCAAACACTGTTAGTTACAGCACTCTTATGAGTGGCTTGTTTCAAGCAGGTAGAGTTTTGGAAGCAAAAGAGCTTTTCAAGAATATGCATGCCCAGGGCCCCACTCCAAATTTAATAACTTGCTCAATTTTGCTTGATGGCTTAAGCAAACAAGGGTATCCTGATCAGGCGGTGGGACTATTTCGAGAAATGCAAAATAGTTACTTGAAGCCTAAGTTGGTGATCTATGATATCTTAATCGATGCCATGTGCAAATCTGGGAATCTTAAAGATGCAAGGGAGCTGTTTTCTGAAATTTCTATCAAAGGCTTGCAGCCTGATGTTCGGGTTTGGACTACAATAATCAATGGACTTTGCAGAGAAGGATTGCTAGATGAAGCATACAAATCTTTCAGACAAATGGAAGAGGATGGCTGCCCCCCAAATAATTTTTCTTGAAATGTTTTTATCCGAGGACTTCTCCAGCACAGAGATCCAAGGGCGGTGCAACTTATTAGTGAGATGAAAGGCAAAGGATTCTCTGCTGATGCGGACATCAGAGCCTTGGTTTTAGACGATGATCTTGTTGTTAAAAAACGTTGCTTGGCTTTTGTGAAGTTCATCAAGGGGAAAAGGTGACGTGATTGTTTCACATAAGTTATTTTTAGTCCTGTCGAAGTCTGGACTAAGCCACCAATCACTTACTTTTTGTTTGTGTGGTTGTTAGTTACTTGTTTGGAACTAGCATTTGATTCTTGTGGGTTATACATCGATCGATACATTCGGTTTATGTCTGTCAATATGTGGTTTAGTAGATTTAATTGATAAAAGCTATTCAAGTTTTCTCACAACTGATCGGAGAACTTGTTTAAATTTTCGTCATCCTAATTACACCCCTCTGCTTCAACCAAATAAGGAATTTTGGGAGGTTATTATTGAATCACTTCTTCATTTCAAGCTTTATTTGTCATGGTGCATGTCTGCATGCGGGCAGATGCTACCCCCAGCTTTGCAAATGACGAGAATTGATATGGGAGTGGTGTTGCCGATTTTTGTTTCTCTTTTTTTTTCTTGGTGTTTTTAGATATTTTGTTTCTGTTCCTAGAACTAGGATATATGTGTTTTCCTGATGTTTGGTATTGTAAATTTGGAATCAAAATGATGTGGTTATTTGAAAGAATTTTTTCATATAATTTTGATTGGCTTTAGGTATTTAGGTCATTTGTATGTGAAGAAATATGGGATCACCAGATTGGTCACTGTAGCAAATTGCTTGTATAATTATGCTCGGAGTTGAAAAGTGTTGATATGTTGTGATTATATGACAGTGATACCTGTGTGTTTCTAAATTGGGTCGTCTCATTATAGAATGTGGTTTAATCGTGGAAATAAACTACATAAATAGTGAGATCATGAAGGAAGAAGGCGATATTAGTGCGAACTCAAACCTGTTGTTTGAGTCTGCCTTTAGGTAAGTTTGAAGGGTTGTGAACAATATCTCACATGTAGTAGTAATTTTGTCATTTTGAGTTCTCCTACAAAATGTGTCATAGAATTCCACGAATTTCTCACAAGTTGTGGATCCGACGTGTTGAGTTCTGGCCATCTTTCGGCCATTAGAGTAGTGACTTTTTGTAGAAACAAGAACACGTCTTAACAAGGAATCCTAAATGGGTAAAACTCCTTTGTCAATTCTTCAATACATATCACTAATAATACGCATTCTTCAGCTTATACTGTAAAAATTCTACATCTAGAATGAGATGAGGCAAAGCACTTATAAAGCTTGGTGATGAATGGCATGAATCCATGCACTAAAAGTCTCACAAATGCTTGGTGTCTTGATCATGTTTAAGTATCTGAGTTATTCAAGATGATGAAAATTTAAACAAGTTTATAACTTAATTCTTCAACATATGACAATAATAGTATGCATTTTTCAGCTTTTACTGTGAAATTCGACGTGCAGAAAGAGATGAGGCAAAGGATTTATAAAGCTTGGAAATCCCAGCATGATACTTGGTGTCTTGATGATGTTAATTGAGAAAGTTCAAATTATCTATAAAACTGGTGCACAAGTAGACAAAATTCCATGAGTAAGCTCTGCATTAACAAAATACCTGAAGGATAAGGTTCAATGCATCCCACTTGTTCAGTTCCTTGAGCACATCAACCACATTTCCCACTAGAATAATTGAAAAATCAATTGGAAATAAGATTGTGATTGCCATTCTAAATAAGCTTCAGATATGGACTCTTAGAATTTGATAATTCATGCTGGAATCCATCAACTGCTGCACAGTAAAACTCGAGATACTGAAAACAGGGCAAATTATCATTTCCAGCAACTTTGGTACCAATTGATACTCATACCATAGTTCTACAAATATTTGCTGAATTGCAAATATTTCTACAGTGATCAGTTCAATAACGAGTACTATGTGCATCATTACTTACAAAATTTTTTGGCTCGCCCGATAACAAAGTTGACACTTTTTCAATCTGAACGGTCACTTTCCACAATTTTGGCCCCGCGACCCACTCGTCTTGATGCAGTCATTCTGCTTACAAGAAATCTTTTATTATCCACCCTTACTGACCTGCTCTTTTTCCTTTCTGCCTCAGGAGAATTACCACTTTCAATATAAGATACAGCAACAACTTTTTTGCCTCCCTCTTTCCTTACATGCTTGTGGATGAACCTCTTGGGTGGTTGGTTTACTCCACAAAGGCGACCAAAGTAGTAAATAGGGTCAACATAACAAGATGATGAAGACACAATTCCTTTCATGTTAGTGGGCTGGACAAGCTCAATAAACTCTTGTATCTCTGCAAAGCATGAGTGATCAGAGTACGGAACCGAAAACATGTACTGGTGATACCTTTCTGCATATCCTAAATTCCCATTCAGCTTATCAGATGACTGTCTTTTTCTGTAATGAGAAGTTAAGAGAGAACCAAAAAGATGGTCATCGCCTTTAACAGGTTTCAGAACCCATGGAAGACCAGATGGCATGATTCCTATTGTTGGCTGCATTGTGTTTAATCCCTCTAAAGTTTCAATGCTAAAACTGTAACGAGGAACTGCTCGGACTCTGGTTATAGAAGTTTTGGTTGTGAATGTGTCATGGAATCCGAGAAGATGCATGGTTTGTAAACGTTCTGGCCACACCCAAATCTTCATAGAAGAAAAGGAAAATTAGAGCAAGAACAAACCTGAAACTGAAATAGTCAGCAAATTTAATTTACAAATAAATCATTAAATTTCATCCAACGGCTACTCTCTTGTAAAATAACAAGAAACTGTGAGTGCTCTAAAATCATCATAAGAAACAATGAACAGGAATGTTGAGCTAAAAAAACAAGGTTCTGTACTTCACAGAGACCATTATGATAATCCACACATAAGAAGATCAGAATCTTGCCATCAATGTAAACCATGATCATACCTTTATGTTAAGCACACGCGAAATGTGAATTAAAAGCTCTTCTTTCCCCAAAGTATCAATCCCAATGATGATGTCATGTTCTGGATGAGAAGCAATGATATCGATAACCTGTCATCATGAAGGAATTAAACCGGTTAAAAAGTTGTAGATATTAACCAGTATTTCGTATTTTGAAGTACTTAATAAATCTAACTTTCAAGTGCATTCCTAGGACATGAATAATAATCAATTGCTCATATGTTCTCATTTCAGAAACAGCATTTAGCTTTCTTTATCCATGCTCACTCACCTCAATATACAAGCTAAAAAACATCAGGCCTCCTTGGGAATTAATCACCTTTTGTTAACCTACCAAATGCATAAAACTCTACCTTCCAGCACCAACTAAAGAACACACGAAACAAGAACTGCTGTATGAGCAAGAAATGTGTAAATTCTACCTGCTGAGCAGCAACTTCTCGAGTTGGAAAATCGTACGACGGATTACAGTATGTATTATCCAAGTAAAGAATATCAACTGTCTCATTCTTGAGGACATTAAGTAGCCTACTCCTAGCATCCTTCGCCCTTTCACTATCAACTTCCCATCGAAAATCCCCTGTATACATCAAGCATCCGAACTCGCCGCGAAACAAAAACATAACCGCTCCTGTTACAGTTCAATTCCATCAAATCTCTAAAGTTAAACAACATCAACACAACAAATTACAACACTACTAACAAGTTTACTAAAACCAACAGCTAAGCATAAATCACCATCACATCATTCGTCAATCCATCAATCACATAACTAATTAACTAAATAATCAATCACCTCATTTAGTGAAATAATTATAATTTACCAACGGATAATGCCACATTTTAGTAATAAAAACATTATAATTGGCGAAATCAAAAAACATAGAAAAAAATTATTAGGTTACCAGGGCAATGGTGCGCGTCGAGAGCCATGACTTGAACGGTCATTTGAGATCTGGTGGTCGGAGAAATGAGAGAAAAGGAATGCCAGATGTGAAGATCGACGACGCGAAGTAGAGAGAGATTGAAATCAGGGAATTTGAAAGGGAAGAGCTTAGCGGTTATTTTGGAGCAAAAGAGAGGACCCTTCTTCCATTTTGAGGTCAAGCCTTGAGTGTGGTCCGAGTGTAAGTGAGTCAAGAAGTATGCCTGGCTTGACTCAGTGAATCGGTCCACTGATATCAAACCTTTATCCATCGAGAGAGAAAGACAGAAATTTGTTGTTTTGGCGGGGAAATTTGAGTTGATTTTTTTTTCTTGGTTTTTATAGAAGAGACGAATGTTTTTGGATTATTTTTTCAGAGAGAGGAATTTTGAAGAAGGAGATCTTACAAGGTGGGCTTTGTGAAGAATTGAGATGTAATTGGATTGACCCATTTATGATGGACTACAAATTTAGGCCCGTTAAGGATTTAGTTCGAGCTCGTTTATTAATGTTACAAATTCTAGTCTAACAACAATTAGTACCGGATACAGACCGGAATCCAATCCATTTTAAATATAATTAAATAAATTTAACGTGCTATTTTTATTATTCAAGTCTAATTATAATTCAAATTTTTTAATTTATTTATTATATAAGAATTTATTTTTATCCGATCAGATAATAATCCGATTCAAAATAATATTAATAGTATTTATGATAAATATAATTTTTTAAAACACAAACGAGATTTAAGTAAATATAAGAAAAAAATTTGACATAAGATTTAAATTTAGGATTTATTCACTCTAAATGCTAAATGAAGTTCTATCCCTTTGTTTTTTCCCCCTATACATTGATGGCTATTCTTTCAAAAAATTATATGTTTTTTTTTTTTTTCAAGTCTCAAATTAGTGAGTTATTGCCAATATTATTAGATTTGTGTTTCCAATTTATAACATCTTGATCCAATTTAAATTTTCATCAATTACAAATTTTTCTTTATAAAACATTTGGATTTTCATTTAACCTTATTGTTATTATTATTATTTTCAATATTTTTCATTATAATGTAATAATTGGTTAATAACATAATGAAAAAAAGTAGTAGGCCCATAGTAGAGATGGGTAGAATCAAGCCCATGGAAAAAAAGACCATGACCTAAACTGGCTAAACACACAAGTTTGCATTTTGGAATAACATAAAATTTCTGGTAAAACGGAGATTCTCTTCTCATCTATGAGCTGACATCCTTTAATATCTCGTACTTCAACTTGTTTTATAGTATTTTCATTTTTATTCTCTTAATTGGTAGCTAAAATTTATTTATTTAGAGAAAAATTAAGAATTTTTTTTATCCCAAGTATTTTCATCTTATAATAAAAATAAAATTAACCATATTCATAATAAATATAATTTTAAAATTCGAATCTTACATTTTGATATAAACTTGTGTTAAGATCAATTCATTTATTGTTGAATGAAAAATTTGTTATAATTAAGAAAGGCTCGTCGTTATATTTTTTGAAACTACCTCCTTTTCTTCCTATCTGTACAGCATGGCATTAAAATCTCCATCCAAAATCCAATGTCTGCAAACATAATCAGCTAACTTAATTTTTTCGAAAGCAATGTCCAAATATGGCAAAGAGATCGAGCATAAATGGCTGTAAACAAGAAACTCATACCATCCAAGCAAATCCTTTTATGCATAAATGGCCTATGATTTCATATAACTTGAGTTTAGCACCCTGACTTCTACTGATGAGTTCTTTCGTTTCTATCAATTTCATATAATTTCGGCTGCTATTGAACTCCTACATTTCTCGTGGATTATGCATGAGATGAAGCTGATGGAAACAAAAAATTTCTTTCATACTCTGATCCCATCAACGAAATTGGGTGCAACATCTCATGCATATATACTCCTTAATTTCTACAAAGATTCTCTTCTTCGTATCCTTCGCATCTAATTTCTTTCATATATTTATTTTTTCATGAGAAAAATCTTCATTTGTTTTATATGTATTTATAAATCCACTATTTTTTAAAATAGGCGTCAAAACATATTTAACATTTTGTCAACTATTAAGTTGTTTTTTAATCCAAACCAATCTAAACTTAACACTATTAAAAAGTAATTATTACTAGTTATTTGTAGATAATGCAAACTTAATCTTGGTTTTACTCAAATCAAATCAATCATTTACTGATGTACCACATTCTTTGATAGTGAGAAGAAACAAAAATCCACTTCAAGTAATCCAAAATCAATTGCTAAATACTGCCAAATGTTATATGCCAAACAAAAATGTAATACAATTCTTAAATTATTCACAAAATTGAAAATCATGTAACATGAAAGTAGATTGGAAGTTTGGTCACAAAAATCTTACATCTTTTTAATTCTATTTAGAATCACTATATAAGTAATGATGAAGAAACTCAAACCGATAAAACTAATGGTTATGGCAAGCCCTGAGTTAGTGCTAGTACTGCATAATTACCTCTGACAAATGGAAAGCCCGATAAGAATTGCTGCCGCTACAGAATAATTTTGGTCACTTGGTCTGAATGGTGACATGAAAAACGGATAAAAACAACTGATGAAAAGGAAAGAAGCTGTTTTTTTTCTTAGAATTGCAGTACGTTCCCTGGTTAGGATCTTGCCCATTCTTGTAACAACGAGGTATGGGAAATGTCCTTCTTTTTGTTCACAACCATGCCCATGTGGTCCACTACCAAAATCTGCCAATGATTCTACAATCTCTTCTTCCGACAAGTTTTGTCTAAAATATTGCATAACTCCCTATCTTATCAACTGCTAAGACTGTCTTCTTCTTTTTTTATTCCACAAAAAGCTAGTACGTTTAAAATAAAAAAGAATTTATTCTACTATTACTATCGAGAAAGTTTATGTTATTTGCAGAGCAAGTAATAATATTTACTTTATAATGGAAACAGGCATAAAAAAAAAAAATAAGGAGAGAGAAAAATAGAATAAGGAATTAAAAAATAAATATATAATTGAATCTATGAGTATTTTAAATTTATCTTTTATAATCTATTTTTAGCTCACAGGAAAGGTCAATTTGGTTGACCAGCAGCATGCTTGACTTTCACTAAATTTAGTTAAAAAAAATTCAAATTTAGGTGACTGAGAAAACTTAAATAGAAAAATATTAGATATTTAAACAGAATAAAAATAAAAAATTAGATATCTAAATTGCAGTATTTTTTTGTTAAGAGTTTATTTATTTATTTTTTTAAAGAGTTTTCTTAACAAAGTATAGTGAAGAAGAATAATAAGGAGAGAAGTGTTTCAGCTGTATATCTCTTTTCAATTACAAAATGAATGAATGATCTCTCGGTGCTTAACTGTCTTATTAATACTAAGAGTTGTATTCTAAGTAACTAACTAAACTAACTATTGCTAGCTCAGCTTCTAGTTACAACAATTAGTAATCCTGTTAACTAATTGCCATGTAAGTAATTATTATAATAGCTAGTTACTAATACAGAAACCCTAATTCTCAATTCATAACATTGCTTCGATGAATTTTTTGCTGTTTTTCTAATATAAATTTTATTTTAATTCTTTCTTAATCTGATGTAACTCCATCATAAACATTCCACCTCTAAGAATTTAATTTCTTAAAATATCTAAAATATAGTAATAAACTAATATTTTACAAGAATTTAATTTCTTCCAATACCTAATTAAATAAACCTGAATTATATGTTGCTTTGTAATTATTTAAGAAAGCTATTTTGCAACGAGAAAATATGCAAACAAATCTACACTTGCTCATTCTTATAAGGTAAAGTCATTCAATATATATGCTCGACAAATCATAAGATATGTGCTATATCTAATTTAACCGATTCAAAACTGTTGGCATGTTATATAGGTTTTCTCAAGCACTATGAGTGTGATTAGGGTTTACGATCCAACATGATTGCATATTCACATTAAGATGTATATTCTATAATTTTGACAAAAACTTTCATTGTCATAAAATCCCACATCATTTACTCATAAAAAGTTTGTAAGAAATTTTGGTACCTCTTGCATTAGGGGAAGAGTAATGCTAGAGACGCTAATTGTACTTTATTTTTTCTTTCAAAATTTTTGTTACTAGATGATGTATTTCTTGTGATAGTAGAAGGTTTTTCAAATTATGGAATATAAAACTTATGACTTAATTTTTATTATAAAAATAAAACAATTACTCTCTCCCTCTTATAAAGAGAATCTTATCAGTCATTTCACGCATATTAAGAAAATAAATAAATAAATAAATAAAGAGGTATATCACTTAAGTGGATCCTTCTTTCTTTTCTTGGTTTATATTTTTCGTGATTTGGAGATTAATAGTTAATAGTTAGAAAAGATAATAATTGATTAATGGTGGTTAATTAAAGAAAAGTAAATATAAATACTACTTAGTTATACGGAAAATAAATAAAATAAATATGAAAAGGAAAAGGAAAGACTATATAAGTTCGTTAAGTAGATATAGGAACCGGAGGATACGTCATTTTAAACGACCAACAATGTTGTGGCCCATACTCCGGCCCAAATGGCCGAGACCCAAGATGATTTTGCAACTTGGATTGAGCAGCCTCTGCAGCCTGGATTGAGGAGTTTCCAGATGTTTTGGCCTTTTAGGTGCTCCTACTAATAGCCGAAAGATCATTTAATTAAAAAATTTAAGCTATTAGATAAGTACTCATTATATAATTTATATTATTTTTTTAATATACTCTCTTAAATGAAAAAATTTTGAACTTGAAACTTACACAAATTCACACTACATTGTACTTAATTAATTAGAAGAGAAAGTGAGATAGTATGATTCAAACTTATGACCGTTTCGTTACCAAAACTCGATACCGAGTCAAATGATCATCTCACACAAAAGCTTAAGCCATTAGGTGAGTTCTCAATATATGATTTATATTATTTTCTAACACTAATAAATATTAATCATATCCTCTATCCTAAAT